CTGTTGGGTTTGTTTCTTTTTATTTTGAACGTATTGTTATAAAAGAAAGTACCTGTTTTTTTTTCTTTTATAAGCACCACCTTGCTTTCAGTGTTTAATTTAAGAATATGTTGTGTTTTTTTGTAAAAATTTACACTGATGTACCAAAGAAGAAGAACTGCGAAGGTGTTGGTATATGGTCTCATCGTATCGTGACGTGGCCGAGTGGTTAGAAAGTTCTCTGAGACCCGGATCGGAATCTCACTATGGTCGATTTGTCAAGAAGGTGTCTTCTTGATGTAACCGGCCCGGGAGGCGATCCTAGCGTGCGTCACTTTTAGAAAGTACCTGTGAATCATACCGGAGGTCTGACCAAAGACTTTGCGAATGAAATTAGTTCTGCTCGCACGTAGTCCCTATTCCTCTGACTGAGGGTGTGAGCGCCCTGGCCTTATTCAGACCATCGATCACGCCAGATGATGTGCTCTCCTCTAGAAACTATAACGATTAAACCTATCCTCAGTAGCTTAAGATTGTAGTGATCGGTGAAGCATCCTGTTGGGAGCCGATTCCACAGGGCAGAGGTTCGCTGGAAGTAGCTGCTCGAGTGGAATTTACTTCTCACAGAAGGAATATGAAGGGAATGTGGGCCGTTCGCCACTATGTAAGTGGTATGGTGTGTTCTTGTCATAAAGGTTTACCTTGGCGAGTCAAACTCTATCTACTGTCCTCCTGATTACCCTTTTCTCTTCCAGCTCATTATCAATGTTTCTGTTCCTAATTCTTGCCACACCCTGCAACCTCTTGTGTCTTAGTGGCTTAACTGCCTTGTTTAGGGTGATACCAATAAAACACGAAAATCTAAACTGTTGTATACGACGACGTTTTCAGATCAATGATTAAAAATGGCTTCAAGTGAATGAAGCCTCTAGGTCACAGCGAGGGACCTCCTTCGAACTTTGTGGACTGGCGTTACAGAATCACAAACAAAGGACTGTACCAAATTGCAGAAAACACATTACCTGAAGTCTTTCAACTGCCGCAACAACTAAAATGGATAGTACATACAACTCAATGGGAAAATAATTACTACATAGTTGCAGTATAAATCACAGGTGTGCTCTTTGAGTGCTGAACAAACACAAATGTGCCTGACCAGGTGTCTACAATAGGGGTTGGATTGCTGCCCTTGTCGACAAGCATACTCAGATACGAACGGTCAGTCAATACCGTGACGTCAAAGTGTGCTCTGATGGTTCAGAGGGATCACCTCCTCGGCTGCTAATGATAAGGCGACGGATTTTGAACCGGTTCATGACTGTGTCATACGGATACGATATTTCTGGATCCGGAGAGAAGGGTTCAATCACTCGATCTGCAGTGTCACTTGTGTACCAGGGATACCTGCTGGAAGGTTAGTGCCCACCGTGGACAGTGAAGTGGCCAAACACCGGACCTCAATGATCGTGACCAAGGCCGTCTGGCTTGAATTGTCCACATTCAGTGCAAAGAGGTAGCAAACGTATATCCAGCAGCACAGTTCAAAACGTGAACGGTCATGGCTCTCCACAATTTCCTGTCCTTTGTAGAACTTAGTAAATTTTACCTTTTTGATATATCTCCTAAACCGTGTTCTGTCAACCAGATCGTCATTTAGGTCAAATTTTCTAAGACCTCTTTCCTCATTATCTGCCCTAGGAATTTCAGTTGCCTCTTATTATTAATTATAAGTCTCCTTTTTGTTTTCGTTTTTTCTAAAACTTCGTCGTTGCTTACGACATCCTCAGCATCCTTCTGGAGAACAACATTTCCGTTATCTCTAGCATCTTCTTCATGTGTGAGAAGATTGCCCAACATTCACTGCTATATAGGAGGACAGATATTACATAAGAGTTCAGCACGCTTTTCTTTGTTTCTAACGAAATTTTCATGTTTCTTAATACTTTGCTTAGCTTTTGGAAGGCATCTTTCGCTAGCCCAATGCGCCTTTGATGTTAGGTTTTGCCTTTTCTGTCTTCTGTTAAAACACTTCCCAGATATTTCAATTTTTGTACTTGTTTGATTATGGTATCCCCTATTTTTAATTTGCGTGTTGGGCTGTCCCTTTTGCTAACAACCATGCATTCTCTCTTCTTACAATTGATGTTTAGTCCTTTCTTCTCGTTTTCCTCCGCTACCATATGTGGGAGTCCTTATAGTTTCCTTTCTGTGTTTGCTGTCAATACTGTGTTATCTGCATATTTAATGTTAAGATTGTGTAATGTATCCTAGTAGGATTTATAATTATATCAGGATCACCTCACTAAATAGGTTGAATAAGTCCGGCGAGAAGACACATCATTGTCTTACACCTCTTTTTATTTTTGTATATTAACTGAATTCATTTTCTATATGTTATGTGGGAACACACCTATTCTATAGACTCTCCCACCTATAATAAGTAGGAGTAGTAAGAGTAACGAGGGGGTCAAGTCAGTCGATGTTGGTCGACCGGCTGATTGGTTGAACTCCCTGCCTTCGGGCGGGGAGGAGCCAGAAGGAGGCTACGCCGAAGGGCGGATTCTCTTTCGGGGAGGTAAACCGACTCTGAATCCGTTCATACGGGTTTAATGGGCATATTTTTGGCCGAGCCCACGGGCTCAGAGATCCCACGGACTCGGAGATCCCACGTTAAAAAAGCCTTGTGCCACATGACGCCCTCGTTGAGGGGGTGACTGAATATCGTCAGTCAGTCGAGTCGGCCAGTCAGTCGATGTCGGACGACAGTTAGTCGAATACTAAAGTATCAGCGACCACAACTAGATTACTCTGCATTATACCTATTATATCAAGTTCCTAACGTTTTGTACGTCGAACCTATTTTAGGACCGACTTAGTACAAATACAAGCCTCCACTGTGAAATCACCCCACAACACTATACATATGCAGGCGGTTGGCTATGTAGGTTGAATGTATCCGGTGAGAAGATACAACATTGTCTTACACCTCTTTCTAATTTTGTATATGTACTGCATTTATTTTCTATGCATATGCAAGCGGTTTACACCCAGTAGAGTTTCTGGATTATTCTAATACCATTTCCGAATATGTAAAGGTGACATAACAATTCCAAAAGTTCCTCGTGACATGCTTTATCAAACGCTTTTATATAATCTATAAAACATATGTATAAGTACTTTTGCATTTGTGTTGGTCTTTCTGATATTATTCTGAGCATAAATATTGTATTCCTTGTTCCAGTGTCTTTAAAGAAACCGCACTTGTCGTATTTCCGGTATAATTCTGCTGCACGCTTTGTTCCTTACAGTTCAGATGATATTTTTTTGTAATATGGTTGGTTAGGTTGAATTTCCGATGGAGTTCACATTCATTTACACCTGGCTTCTTAAGCAGCGCTATGAAAATAGAGCCACTTAGACCTTCCGGTATATCACCACTGTTGTATATTTCATTAATTATGTTTTAATCTTGTTAATGTCAAAATCGTCTACAGCTGCCAGATGGAATCGTAAAAGCAATTCCATCTGGTCGTGCTGCTTTGTTACTGTTTAATACGGCCTGCGCTGATTTCACTTCAGATTTTAATATTTACGACCCTTCAACATTTCTGTGTACTGCGGGTAAGTGAGAAAAATATCGCTAATAAACTAATAAACATAGGTTGTTGGAAATATATGGTATATTTCTGAGGTTTTGTAAGAGAAAGATTAAACATCAGGTAATGGCTGATAAATCTTTTCGTTGGTGCTTGAATTAATGAATCAGGTCAGAAAATGAGTTATTATTAGTTTCTTTACTGTTTTTTTTTTGCCTTGGTAGCGAGCTGATGGTCTGAAAAAAAGAGTATGGAAAATTCTTTTACTCACTGTGCTCTTTCCGTTGCTGACGTATGGTCAGGAACATTTCCATTTTGGAGACAATAAAATATGCCCGATACAGATACAACGCATTGTGGATTTCTTTTTTATTACAAGAACTTATTTCTTTTGGAGAAAATATGACTTTTTGGTTTAAAGTGACAGAGCGAGGTGGTATAACTTTGTGCTGTTGATCTGAAGACAGCTAATGCGGACCATTCTGAAGCAATGACTGTAACTCCCCAAATACCAGCGAGCCATAGAGGGTCTACTGACAATGCTATATTTTACTTTCCCTTGTATTAAAGATCCTTCCTTTTTCTATAGAGTATTATTTTCTACTGTAACAACAGCGACATTTTGATATGCTTTCGTAATAATAGCTTGCTTTTTATATACAGTAATATTTTCAAGCATAGCTAAAGCGATGTTGTAATGTTCTGTAATATAGTGGTTTTTATGTGACGTGTATCTTCAGGGCGAAGGCGATCATGGGCCTCGCATCTTCCTGTCTCTTGTAGCCCATATTAAGTTTTGTCTTTTTTATTATTTCTTCTAAACTTTGTTCTGATATCCATTTGCTCTTCAAGTACGTTCCCCTCAATCTGTCCTGTGTGCATCAGACTCTCCAAGTCACCCTTCCTCATTATGTGTCCCAGAAATTTCTACTGCCTCTTTGTAAACATTACATACATACACTGTAACCTTTTTCTGAATTTGCCATACTTAGATAGTGAATCTCCGCGTGTCTTTCATGCCGTAAAACGTGATAAGGATCAACAGTGTAGATAAAAACTTTAAGGAAGTGAAAACAACTGCTTCATGATAAGACAGATGGAACCAATTGGTTGAACTGATAAATAAACAGAGACTGACACAGCTGACACGAGCCATGTGCTCTGCTTGCCTCTTTGTTAAACATGTTTATTGATATTGTCTCTTTAATCGTGGATAGGGAAAAAAAAAGCAAGAAAACGACAGTATTAAAATATAATGAGTTCTTCAGGGGTTTTAATTTCGAAGAAGGAGCTGCTTTGGAAAATAATGTTTTATTTTGTTCTTTTGAGTTTCTGTTTGAATCTAATAGTGTCGGAGAAGATTTTGAATGAACTACATTTTCTGTGCTTAGCAGAGGAGAAAAATCTTGCATATATTGATTTATCTTAAATCGTGTGTAGCCAGAAATAATAGTAATACTGAAAGAGAGAGAGAGAGAGAGGGGGGGGGAGATTGTATATAGTATAATGAAACAAAGAGAGAAAAAAGAGAGTAAGAAAATGAAAGAGAATGAAAGAGAGACGGAGAAAAAAAAGAAAGAAAAATAGAGAAAGGAAGAAAGAAAAGGATACGAGAAAGAAGGGAAGGGAAAAAGAAAAAAAGAAAGAAAGAAGAGAAAGAGTGCATGAAGAAAAAAGAAAAGATAATCGGAAAAGAAAGAATGAAAGAAGCATAGGGAGAGGGAAAAAGAAATAAGGAAAGAAAAAGTGTAAAAAGAAAGAAAGAAATAAAGAAAGAAAGAAAATGACAAAAAGAAAGAAATAAAGTAAAAGGGAGAAATAAGGAAAGAGAAAAAAGAATAAAAAAAGAAACTTACAGTGAGAAAAGAGGAAACAAAGAAAGGGAGAAAAAAGAGAGAGAGAAAGACAGAAAGAAGAAAAAGAAAGAGAGAAAGAAAGAGAGAAAGACAGAAAGAAGAAAAAGAAAGAGAAAAAGAAAGAGAGAAAGAAAGAAAGAAGAAAAAGAAAGAGAAAAAGAAAGAAGAAAAAGAAAGATAGAAAGAAAAAAGAAAGAAGAAAAAGAAAGAGAGAAAGAAAGAAGAAAAAGAAAGAAAGAAAGAAGAAAAAGAAAGAGAGAAAGAAAGAATAAAAGAGAGAACGAAAGAAAGAAAGAAGAAAAAGAAAGAGAGAAAGAAGAAACAGAAAGAGAGAAAGAAAGAAAGAAGAAAAAAGAGAGAAAGAAAGAAGAAAAAAGAGAGAAAGAAAGAAAGAAGAAAAAGAAAGAGCGAAAGAAAGAAAGAAGAAAAAGAAAGAGAGAATAAAGAAGAAGAAGAAAAAAAGAAAGAAAAGAAAGAAAAAAAAAAAGAAAAAAAAGAAAAGAAAGAAAAAAAAAAAAAGAAAGAAAAGGAAAAAAGAAAAAAGAAAAGAAAGAAAAAGAAAGAGAGAAGGAAAAAAAGAAAAAGAAAAAAAGATGAAAAGGGATAGAAAAAAAAAAAAAAAAAAAGTTTTTAGAAAAGAAAAAAAAAAGAAAGAGAGAAAGAAAGAGAGAGAGAGAGAGAGAGAGAAGACAAAGAAAGAAAGAAAGAAAAAAAGAATGCGAAAGAAGAAAAGAAAGAACAAAAAGGAGGGAAAAAAAAAAAAAAAGAAAAAAAAAGAAGAAAAAAAAAAAAAAAGAAATGAAGAGAGAGGGAAAAAAGAAGGAATGAAAGAGAAAGAAAAAAAAAAAAAAAAAAAAAAAGAAACCAAAAGAGAGAGAGAGAAGAGAGAGAGAGAGAGAGAGAGAGAGAGAGAGAAAAGTGAGGTAAAAAAAAACACACGACATATGAATGGATATATCCCTGGTTTTCCGATATAGGAAAGAACTTGTCACGTGCTCAATCCCGCAGTGGCCCTATAACCACACCCGCTCAGGATACTGATGAGAACGATGATGATGATATTGATGATGATATTTACTCAAAGCATCGAGTACTATATTATACTGTGTTTAAACTTTTTTTTTTATGAAGCGAGGAAAAATTGTAAAAATAATGGTCACCGTTTCTTTATAAGGAAACATTCGGCATTCATTACCCGAGCAGCATCTGCTACTTTCGCTTGAAATTTATAAAATCCTTTTTGTTAAATTTCGATGGAAAATAATTTTCTCAAGTCCAGTAGCTGTTATCGCTCTTTCCAGTAATAATTGGCTGCTTCCTTCCTAACCTTTTCTTTGAAGTTGTGTGGAATGTCAGCATCTTCATTATGGCATTATTTTCCCATTGAGTCACATGTACTATCCATTTTAGTTGTTGCTGCAGTTGAAATTCCTTACATAATGAGGTTTCTACTATTTGTTACAGCCGTTTGTTTGTGATTCTGTAACGCCAATCCACAAAGCACGAAGAAGTGGGGTCCTCGTTAAGATTCATTCATTCGAAGCCTTTTTTAATCATTGATCTGAGAACATCGTTGTATACAACTGATAGCTTAGAATTTTGTTGTTTTTTTTTTTATCGCTATCACCCCATGCAAGGCAGTAAAGCTACGAAGACACTGTTGTAGCAAACCTACGGACGATAATGCATATGTTCCCATTCACATAAATATAGTAGTAAATACTGTATGTTGGTTTGCAGTTAGAGATTCATTGTGGAATTCACTTGACTCACTTCTAGCAGTTATTTACTTCTACGCACCGCTGGCGAATCTTATATGTGTTGTTCTTGTCCTAAGTATTATCATTCATTACCAACCTTCGTTTGATTATTCTATTCAGTAACCTTCCTGAGGTTACAACAGACAAAATGTGGTTGCATGGTGTGGTAGAATTAGGAACAGAAACATTAATAATTAGCGGGAAGAGTAAAGGGTAATCAGGAAGATAGTAGATAGAGTTTGATGTTCTCTAGTCCCTCCAAGCCACTTTCATAGTAGTGAACCACCCACATTCCCCCCATATTCCATTTGTGAGAAGCAAGTTCCACTCGAGCAGCTTCTTCCAGCGAACCACTGCCCTGTGGAATCGACTCCCAATAGGACATTTCCCTGACGATTACAATCTTAACCTATTCGAGGATAGGGTTAATCGTTACCACCCTCACCTATACACAAATGACCTCATAACGTGACCCTCTACCTCGAGTGGCCACCGGGCCTTAAAAATAGTGAGACTCACTGTAAAAACAAAACAAAAAAACATTGTGTTTAAATTTTTGCAGATTAAATTTGGTTCAAAAGCATTGGAGTCGGAATGGAGTTCCACAAGCGAGAAGTGTGAGAAAAGTATGAGTTATCATAGAATTTACGGCTACATCTAGCCAGTCCAGCTGTAAATTGATGGGATATATCTGAACGTCACCTTCTTTTATGTGTCGAATACCTTCAGGACATAGGCGATCATGGCTCTCCACAATCTCCTGTCCTTTGTAGCTCTTAATAAATGTTCTCTTTTTGTTAATTCTCCTAAACTATGTTCAGCCATTAAAAATAAAACAAAAATTTATTTTCATTAAAAACATTTCCAAGCTCATTCTTCTTCTTTCTTGGCGATAGGTCTTTGGACTATCCCCTTTTTTGTCCTTCGTAAATTGTTAATAAATTTGCTTTTTTTTCCACCAAAAATACTGAAAAATTCATTTAATATTCTTGTTCTATTCAAAACATAATTTGTCAAATTTAAAAGACATGGATATCCCATAATTTACAATGTCCTTCGTGTTAAAATTTTTTAAATGCTGTTTTCAATTTTTTTTTCCTTTAAATATAGTTTCATATTTATATTAAATTTCCTCCTTTTTTAACCTTTCCTATTTTCAATCTGTCCTTTGAGTATTAGATTTTAAATAAATAATCTTTCCTCATTAGTCTCTTCTTGGTGTTAAGTATAAGTTTCATCTGAACGAGAAAGTGGTGAAAAACGTGACTTTGATATCAAACAGGGAAATGGTGTTTGTTTGTTGTTTTTTTTAATTAAAAACGCGGAAATAAATAACGTGATAATAATATAAAAAATCTTGTTTTCGAAGCAGACGTTCAGATTGAATGATAGAAAATATGTTGATCTGAAATATCTTTGAGTTCCTAAACATATATATCTACTACTTATAACTACACAGACGCATAAAATGCATGTAAAATGTAATTTGGGAAAGCCAGCTAAATGTCGACATCTTTTATTCTGTTGTCAAACAAAAAAATAAACAGCGTTTTCATAACAATCTTCCCACATAGAAATACTGTGGTTAATTTGTAAATCATTTAGACATTTCTTATTCTTCTCAGATTGTGAAGCTTTGCTGCTGGACATAGGCCATCCCGAGATGCATGGCTAGGATTGGCCATTACCTTTTGGTCTAATACGTGTTGGTACAGGCATTTTTTGACACGCTTGGTCGATGGTGAATGTAATCCAGCCCGTCTTCAGTTTGAACTCTCCGATTTCTGATTCCGAGTCGTCCTCCATCGCGTATCCAAGCTTATAACAAATTTGATATTTTATCTTTTTGCTGACCAACCTTAAAACGTTGCTTATCTTCGATGATCTGACGTGAACCGGTGTTTAAACGATTTTCCAAAATGTAATTGTTATTAAAATTAAAAACGAATACTTCTGAATAAAAAAAATCTCATTGGCAATCTAAAATCGGCAATCGCTTTCCCACAAATAAAAAAAAAAATTTTCACATAAAACTGTTTCGACGAGCGACTTTCTCTGGTTCAGAGACTGCATGAATTTAAGCGAGCTACTAGATTGGCATTTCGGTATTTTTCACTGTCAAATAAGTTAAAAAAATTGTCTCTTATATTCAAACCTTTATTTGAAATCGCACATTCGTCTGTGGAAAAAATTAAATTACATTTAATATTTAGATGATGACTATAATCTTATAAATATTCAAGTGTAATGATCAATCGACATATGACACCATGAATGCTTGTAATAGTCAGTTTCTTTTGTATCCTTTCCTCAAACAATTTAATTTTTGAAAGATTGTTCCTCTTTTTTAAAATAATTTCCCATCAATGCTTGAATAAATTAAAAACAAAAATATTTAATTTTTTTTGGGGTTTTTTCAAAAAAATTTGTCTTTAAAATCAGAAAGATTAAAAGAACACCTCATTTTTCAAAAAAAATTATTTGAAATTATGATAAAAATTTAAAATTCAGAAAGCGTATCCAAAAAAGAAATTTTATTGTATTTTATAAAATGTCGAAAATGGTAATTCAAGATGATATTCGTTGAAAAAAAAAAATAAAAAAATGGATTTTATAAATTAAAATTATTAATTCTTCATTTTACAGTTAATTGAATAGAATATTTCAGTTTTTAATATAGGTTTTTTTTTAAAAATTTTTAAAAAAATTTTTAATTATTTAAATTTATAGATCCCAGTTTGAATCCATTTTGAAAAACGTTTATTTTCACTTTATTATTGAAAATTATATATTTATATATTTTGTTTTAAATTATAAAAAAATAATTGCGTCTTTTTTTAATAATAGCAAATGGAATATATTTATATAATATCGCCCAACATGACGACGAAGAAATCATATTTAAACGGATATATGAATTATAAAAGATTTCAGTTATCTGTTTGGATTGGTATTTTTTTTATGTCCATCGTCTTTTCATGTTGAATTGTATATGGTCTATGTTAATTATGTTTTATGAATATGTCCTGAAGATGGTCTATTAGACCGAAACGTCCGACGTTGACATTAAACATTAAAATATATAATCGCATATTAGTTTTGTTTTTTTTTTTTTTTCCGTATATTTTCTTCATGAAAAATGAAAATACTAATATATATATATATATAAATATATATAAATATTAAATTTATTAGATTTTTTTTAACAATATATTTTTAAAATTTTCAACATCATACCCCAAATAAACGACGACGACGATATGATCATATTTAAACGGAACAATATATTTTCCATCTTCTTAAAATTTGTTTGGAATTTATATATAATTTTTATATATATAAAACGTTATTTTAAATGTTGAATTGTAAATGATCTATGTTAAAAATATTTTTGAATATATATATAATATATATATATATATATATATATATTATAAATTAATTGATTTAAAATATGTTTTTTAAATACACAGTTTAAAACCATGTTTCAAAAATAGAAGCTAAAAACCCCGAATTTATTTTTTGCAATTAAATTAAAAGCATTAGTTCCATTTCATCTTCAAGCGAATTTTGGAGTAACTTTTAAAAATTACCGGGGTTTTAAAGACACAGCTAAAAATCACGTTTCCATGGTTACAGAATATTCTACTTAAATTGAACAAGGGGTGTCAAGATTTTCCTTATGTCAGTATCATTGTATCAGTTATTAGCTACAATTTGGTAAGGGGTAGGGATGTATTTTACAATGAAACCTGACATCAGTTGAATGGATGTCGTCTGAATTTTAAAAAAAAAAAAAAAAAAAAAATTGTTAACGGTAAAAAAATTTTCAACGTCATTTTTTAAATTTAAAATTTAGATTTTTTTTTTTTTTTTTTCTAATACTTTTTATTTAACTACGATTTGAAATATTCTCCTTTTTAATTTTTATTTTACTATATTCTTTTTAAGAACAGTTAAATGTATTAGAATCCATTATATTATGTAGGATTATTTTAACATCAAGTTTACGTAATTTTTAAAAGTTACTCCAAAATTCGCTTGAAGATGAAATGGAACTAATGCTTTTAATTTAATTGCAAAATTAAATTCGGGGTTTTTAGCTTCTATTTTTGAAACATGGTTGGAACTGTGTAGCGAAAAAAAACCATATTTTAAATCAATTAATTTATAATATTAATGCTCTGTAAATTTACATTGAGCACTATTTTGTAAAAATAAAAATATCTATAAGAACACCGGATTTTATATCTTACTGTTCTTTCTTTTTATTTTATATATATATATATATATATATATATATATTTATTTGTGTGTGGGGGGGTTTGTAAGTACTGAAAGGTTCTCAGCCTAAACGACGTCATTTGACGAAACAGAATTTTGGTTCGATGAGATAAAGGAACCACAAGATAGACGTGTTGTGTGTGTTGAACTCTAGGATGAATGTCAAATATCATTTACGTTTCCATCGCTCCAGGTCAATCTCCTTGAGCTTTTCAGTGCGTGTGTGTTTTCTTTATATGCTTTTTTGTTTGTTTGTTTTCATTTTAGCCGTTCTTTTATTTTTTTTTTTTTTATTAAACCTTCGCCCTTGACGAAACAGAATTCATTACACGAAGAAAAAGCAATGCAGTTTTATTCTATTTTGTTGAATTATATTATCGCTAAAAGCCAGGAGACAGCTCAGTTTTTTTTTCTCTCCATTGTTGTTTGCTCACTTGAAAGTAAGACGAAGCAATGGAACTGTAATCATAAAAAACAAAATAATAATCAGATTAGATAAACAATTTGTTATTAAAAAATAACAAAAAATAATAAATAAACGAAAGAAAAACAAAAGAGGAAGAAAAATAAATAATAAAAGGATACGCCTAGTGAGGATCGAATTTATTATTTTGTAGCCATTATCAACTCAACATTCTTCATTAATACTAACCCTACGTTCAGGCATTCATAGCTTCCTGTGATTGGTAATGCATCTTTTTTTCCAGCCTGGCCAAAATTTGGATTTATTTGTACGTATATGCCGCCATATAGGACATTCAAACAAAAATGATTTGCTTATTAACAACCGTTTTTCTGACTGAACTCAAAAAAATTTTATTCACTAATTATTTATTCTATTTAGTCGCTCATCCCACTTCGTCTATCGTCTGGTTCGATTTTTTTTCGAACAGGAGTAAAGATTTATCCTTTTTTCCTGTTTAGGATTGTGTTTCCGGTTGCTTCTTAAGTCTACTTCAACTCTATATTTCTAACATCTCCAAGTGAGCTTTGAAATGTTTTTCACTAATTATTTAATTATTTATTTTCTCCCAGTAGAAGTACATCGGTTCGCCTATCATTTGGTTCACCATCTTCCTCGGACTTTTGAACAGGAAAAGCGGTTTATCCCTTGTCTCCTGTTCAGGATTGGGTTTCCGATTCCTTATTTATTTATTAAAATGTTTTCTTCCCTCAATAGGAGTAGATAGGTTTGCCCATCGCCCGGTTTGCACTCCTCCCCGGTATTTTGAGCAGGTGCAGAGGTTTATCCTTTGTTTCGTGTTCCTTCTATGCTCTGCTTCCGCACTATACTTCTAACGTCTCCGGCTGAGCTCTGAATTATTTTTCACTAATTATTTATTTATTTTTCCTCTTCTAATAGGAGTAAATAGCTTCGTCTACCGTCCGGTTCACACTCCTCCCTGACTTTTTTTTAGAACAGGAGTAGAAGTTTATCTTTTATTTCCTGTTTAGGATTGGGCTTCCGGTTCCATCTAGAGTCAGTTTCAGCTCTATACACCTAACATGTCTGACTGAACTCTGACATGTTAATCACTAATTAAATCTTGGCTCTTCACGTCCTACACTAATACAACGACACACAGTAACTTTCTACATTGAGAGGCTCTTGAGCCTTGTATTCGGTGAATATTAGTAAAAAACAACACTCTAGCTAGAAATGCAGACTGATACATCGTAAGGCGCTGAAATTGAAGGTAAATGAATTTCAATATGTTAGAATGGCCACAGAAAACTGAATATATCCATATATTAATTATAAAATTTCATGTTAGCAAATGAAATAAAGTTGCTCCATAAAAATTGAATTAATTCCTATTTCAAAGAAATTATATATATATATATATATATATATATATATATATATATATATATACGTGTGTGTGTCTGTGTCTGTGTATATCGATTAATATCGTTTCTGCATTCAAGTGAATAAATTTATTTACTTGGAAATCTGTCGCAGAAACCCAAAATGTATTGGACGAGCAAAATATGCCTTTCAAAACCTAAACAAAGTATTAAGAAACGGGAAATTTTCTTCTAGAAACAAAGAAAAACAGTACTGAGTTATGTAATATCACCCTTTAATATTAGAATTTTTTCTCGCTGAAGAAGAGGGTTTTGATCGATTTTATTTTTTACGGTTTATCAACCTGCTGTTGGTTATTTAAATCCTAAAACAAATTTCGGTTTGCAGGAAGTCACTTAGATTAATCGGAGTTCCTAAACGGTCCCTCATCTAAGTAGTGACCGGACTTAACACTTCTTAATTTTAGTGATCGAACAGGTGATGAAAAGGTTTAATAAACTTACGGTCACCTGAAGAAGTTCGGGCGTAAAACGGCCGAAACATCGTGAATATGACAATAAAGCTGAAGACAACAATTCGAACGATGTAAATAGTGGAAATAGTAACAATACCACATCTCCGAAATAGGAACATTATCTATCTATCTATCTATCTATCTATCTATCTATGTTTATATATATATATATATATATATATATATATATATATATATATATATATATATATATATATATATATCTATCATATCTATCTATCTATCTATCTATCTATCTATTTATATATCTATGTCTTTATATATATCTATCTATCTATCTATCTATCTATCTATCTATCTATCTATCTATCTATCTATGCCTTTATATATATATGCCTTCATATCTATCTATCTATCTATCTATCTATCTATCTATCTATCTATGTCTTTATATATATATGCCTTCATATCTATCTTCTTGATTTTATGTTATACTCTGTCTCTACAGAAATTCTAGTTGATTTGTGTGTGCATGTGAGCGTACGCGTGTGTATGTGTGTGTTCACGCGTGTGTGCGCGCGGTATTCACTGAGATTCTGATGAAAAAGCGTCGTAGTTTTGTAAATCCAAAATCTTTCGCGACATCTTATGTCCTATTTTAGTCGATCTATCTCCTCCGGCCACACCTCGATATCGTTCTAATTCAAAAACTGATCGCAACTCGAAGTAAATTTAATTTCTTTGACAGATTGAGAGACGAGGAAAAAGAAGAATGCCCGCCTTTTTGTGTTTTCCATCGTCAACAATCCCTACAAAATGTTGCCTGTCTCTTCGCACCCAGATAAAAAAATAATCAGAAAACAGCAGCAAGCCCCACCAACCAAAAACATTAATAATAATAATAATAATAAATTCATTTATTTTTCTTCAATAGAATTTGAGAGGTTCGACTATCGTCTGTTCACACTCCTCCCCGACTAAACGGTGAAATTTTAGTTACAATTTATTTATTATTTCCTCAGTAGGAGTAAATCGGTTTCCTCTCTGACGTTTTTAAGAGGAGTAGAGGTTTGACCCTTGCTTCCGGTCCAGGATTGGGTTTCCGGTTTCTTCTAAATTCTACTTCATACTTCTAACGTCATCTAAAATCCGCAATTTATACAATTATTTTATTTCCGGGTCCTTTTAAATATTTTCCTTTACATTGACTTCCAGTAGCCGTCTTAGTTGCCTAATTGCATTGCTTGGGGTGAAATGATTAAAAACAAAGAGAAAAAAGAAATAGTGTAAACTTAATTGAAGAAAAAAAGTGTGAAGAAAGAAAGAAAGAAAGAAAGAAAAACGAAGGAAGAATATCTATCTATATATCTGAGGTGAGATATGATTACTTGCATTATATAAATATTCGGACTGTTATCGTCATCTTCATTGCCATATTCACGGCGTTTCGGTGACTAGAAGCAAGAGAAACAAAGAAAAGAGTACTGAACTGTTATGCAATATCAGTCCTGCTATATGGCAGTCAATGCTGGACAATCTCCACACAGATGGAGAAGAGACTTGAAGCAAGAGAACGGCCACTCTTCTAGATATATTTACATTAATGTTATTGATCGGGTTCCATAGAATGACGTTGAGAATTTCATGGACAGAGTATGTGAGAAACTAGGAATTTTACGGAAAATGGGAAAGAAATGAATACTTTGCTTAGAATGAAAATGAGTCAGTTGAAATTTCTGGGACACTTAATGCCGGAAAAGACGGTTCAGAGCATATAACACTCACAGGGCATATTGAAGGCAAGAGGGACTGGGAAACATGAACTTAACCTACATAACGAGCTTGGTAGAAGAGAGGCTGGGATGTTTGCTTAACGACATATAAGCTTCTAATGGTAAAATTTGGGAGCATTGAAGTAATAAAAATACGATATATGTTATTCTGCTTTCACCGTTGAATACATGGTAGAGGATACTCAGCTTTTTTTAAAATATATTTTTGTGTATACAGTGTAACCCGGATATAAGAGACCCGGATATAAGAGAAACCCGGATATAAGAGAGATTTTCTCTGGTCCCAAATTAGAGCCTGTGTTAATGTATATATAATAGACCAAATCCGGATATAAGAGAAATCCGGATATAAGAGACTTCTTCTCTGGTCCCGACAACTCTATTATATCCGGGTTACACTGTATATAAAAAGAGAGGATGACACTATACACAAGAGAGTTAAGAGGACAAATGTTGTATAAACTGAAAGTTCTTTGTTTTTTATTCATAACCAATATTAATAAATTATGATTTATAGTACATGAAAACGGTGTCTAATTTAAGGGAAAAAAGGTCAGATTTAGTATCAATATACTTTTCTAACACTTAAACATGTCTTATGAGGCATGTACTTTTTTAACTTGACATTTGTTTCACAGTGTTATTTATTCTATTTTGTCGCTCATCCCACAATAGATAGCTTCATCTATCGTCTGGTTCGATTTTTTTGTAGGACATAACTACTAGAGGCGGTGATATGTGTGTTTTATGTTGTAGTTTTGTTGGAGTTATATTTTGGAATACAGTTTAATTTCTTTAAGATATTATATGAATTAATGTCATGACAGACTTATTTCATGTTGGTTAAGTGATTTTGTTTAGCGGCATATCAACCTCTATGAGTTATTTAATGTCAAAATATAAATATTTTGAAGACAATTTTAAGGCTTCAAATACAGCTTAAATGTATTACTGATTATTTTGCTATAAAAAGTTATTGCTGGTATTTTTGTTATAAAATTGTATTGCTTGGATTTTACTACAAAAAAATGTATTCCTACACTTTCATAATGTTTTGTTTTTGTATGGAGATTCACAATTTGTTCATAGCGGGAAACCTAACCAGTACTAACTCTCCCGGTTAGAGTGGGCACAGTAGCAATTAAAAGATGCTTCCACATTCCTCGAAATCTTTAATCTCCCGATTAGAAGCCTCGCTGACGAATGTAGTTTATCGTTATAGCCATGATGGAGGAAGAATACTAAGGCGACAGACATCGCTTAGAGATATAAAGGATAGCGAATTGTGGAAAACCCATGGTCGCACCCCCATCTTGGTACAAATGACGAAGAATAACCCAGATATAATTGACAAGTTCTAAATGTTCTAATCAACTACGAATTGGTTGAGCATCTCCCCTCGCGAGTTTTCTTTCAGATGAACAATAGGGTCTTCCTAATTTCTCGGTCAACTACTGATCTGCTAAATGTTATCGCTAAAAGTGCTTTAGATAAAAATGATGAGGCTGGGTCTGTTGCTTCAAATACCCCGAAGCTGATAGATTTGGAATGTGGTTTTCTTCACAACTTGTAGGTTTACGGTATTTCTG